TATTTTATAGGGTCTCCCTATAGCCCCAGCTGGCCTGGAACTTGCTAGGTAGACCAGGCTGGCCTCAGTCTCACAGAGATCTGCCTGTGTGTAGCTCTGGCTAGGGAGGAACTCACAAAGATCCACCTGCCTCTGCCTCCTGGTGCTGGGATTAAAGGCGTGTGCCACCACGTCTTGGCTAGGGAGGAACTCACAAAGATCCACCTGCCTCTGCCTCCTGGTGTTGGGATTAAAGGCGTGTGCCACCACGTCTGGAGACAATAGTACTTTTACATCAGATTAGAAAATGTTGGTTGGGGCTGGGAATGTAGTTTAGTGAAAAACAGCACTTGCCTAGCATGCATGAGGCCCTGGGATCAATTCCCAGCACTATGAAAGAGGAGAGGAAGGAAAGAGGGGAGGAAGGAAAGAGGGAGAATCATCACACAGGAAAACAAAGAAGTCTCTGGCCCGGCGTGGTGGTGCACACCTTTAATCCCAGCACTCGGGAGGCAGAGGCAGAGCTCTGTGAGTTCAAGACTAGCCTGGTCTACATAGTGAGTTCCAGTTCCAGGCCAGCTGGGGCTACAGGGAGACCATCTCAAGAAGACAAAAAAAAAAAAAAAAGTCTCTGGAAGAATCATGACTGAAAGTATGAGTTCATGTATCAAGTGACCAAACTGCTCACGTGACACCTGGGTTCAGGGTTCAGGGTTCCGGTACCTATCACCATCAGCTCAGCACCAACAAGGGTACCTACCGTTTGCCTACAAAGGGGCCTGGTTAGAATCACTGCGAAAAAGCTTAGGGGTAAAATTCATTTTCTTTTTTGGTGCTGGGAATCTAACACAAGGGCTTGTACGTGGTAGACATGCGCTCTACTGCTGAGCTACGTTCCTGGGCAAAATTCATTTTCAATTTGCTTTTCTCTCCAAATCCTTTCTGGCCAACTTGCTCTGCATTTGACTGGAGTTTTGCTCAATGCTTTGGGGCCGACAGAGCTGTACCCTAACCTCTGTAGTATCAGCCTCAGCAGAAAAACTCCACCCCAGTCCCATCCCTGGCCCCTGAGTAGTTAGGGAAGGGTCAGGGACAATAATCCAGAATCCCTGCAGCCATGTGCCACCCACCTCGCTGTAGTCCTGCACATCCTCCTTCAGCAGCTCCAGCTCCTCCTTCTCCTTGGTCAGGGACTTCTTCTGCTCCTTTAGCTTGGAGCAGGCGTCGCTGAGCACGTCGATTTCCTCTTTAGTTATCTCTTCTCCCTGGAAAGAAATAGCAGACAAACCTAAGTGAAGGGAACAGACGGCTTCTGTCCCTGAGAGTTCAAAGCTTCTGTTCACATCACACAGGCCAGAGCTTGGGGACAGACTCAAATGCACTGGAGCTCAAATTAGAACATGCTGGTTATGGCACCTCCATTTGTGCTCTTCCCAGTGCCACCCAGCCGCACACCTGAGTGTGTAGTCTGGTGAGTTGTAACCTGTATGTGTACCTGTGAAACCTACACTGTAGCCAGCAGAGCCAGTACTGACTATCCCCAAATGCCCCCTCGTATTCCCCAGGGTTCTGCCCCTAAGCAACACTGACCTGCTTCCTGCTCTACAGGACAACCTTTGTTTTCTGGAATTTTACAGGAGAGGAATCACGGGCTCAGTCTCTTTCACCCAACTTGCCTGTTTTGGGATCCATCATGTGTTAAGGAATGCACTTCTAGTGCTGGACCCAAAACAGGTTTGCATCCTTCCTACGGGCCACGACAGAGGCAGCTACTGTGAATGCTGGTGCACAGTCTTTGGTGGGGCGACGGCCAAGAGTGGACTAACTATCAACAGGGCGCTGGGGGAGGGGCAGGGTGAGTCTGGTATTTTGGGAAATAATCAAATTGGTTTAAAGCGATCTACATCCTCCACATCGTCATCAACACTGGGGGGGAACAGTCCACCTGTTTTCTGCTTTCACAGTACTGGACACTGAACCCAGGCCCTCATGCATACCATGCAAGCATTCTGAAACTGAATCACATCCTCAGTCCAATTTTACTTTTATTTTGATAGGTTCTCACTAAATTGTGCAGGCTACCCTCGAATCCACCACCCTCCTGCCTGAGCCTTTCTTTTTTTTGAGATAGGGACTCACTATGTATCCCTGGCTGCCTGGTTGGCCTAGAACTTGGTATGTAGACCAGACTGGCCTTGAACGAAAAGATTCACCTGCCTCTGCTTCCCAAGTGCTGAGATTAAAGGAGTGTGCCACTATATCCCACAAAGGTTTTGGTGTTCCCACATGGAGAGTCAAACCTGGTGCCTGTCTCTTAAATAGCTTGAATTACAAGCCCGTGCAACCAGACATAGTGTAGTATGCTTCTAAAATTAAACTATTTGTCTTCCTTTTTTTTTTCATTTTAAAAAACATTTTTAAAAAATTTTATATGTATGCATGTGTTGCCTGCATGTAGGTCAGTGCACCCATGTCATGCAATGCCCATGGAGGTGAGAAGAGGTTGTCAGATCCCCTGGGACTGGAGTTGTTAGCTGCCATGTGGGTACTGGGATTCAAACCTGGGTCTTCTGCAAGAACAACCAGTGTTCTTAACTGCTGAGCCATCTCTCTAGCCCCTGTCTTCCTATTTAGGTCATGAGAGTTCTTTTTATTTTTATTTTTTTATTTTATTTTTTGGTCTTTTTTGAGACAGAGTCTCCTTGTAGCCCCAGCTGTCCTGGAACTCACTATGTAGACCAGGCTGGCCTTGAACTCACAAAGATCCACCTGCCTCTGCCTCCCAAGTGCTGGGATTAAAGGCATGTGCCACCACAACAGATGAGAGTTCTTTTTTAAAAAAATTTAAAGAGGGGGCTGGAGAGATGGCTCAACATTTAAGAGCACTGGCTGCTCTTTCAGAGGACCCAGGTTTGATTCCCAGTACCCACATGGTGGCTAACAACCACCCAGTTAACTCCAGTTCCAGGGAAATTCGATGCTCTCTTCTGACTTCCACAAGCATTACACGACATGGGTGCACTTACATACATGCAGGCAATACACTCATACACGTAAAATAAATTAATTTTAAAAATTTAAAGATGAGACAGGTGTGGTGGCGCACGCCTTTAATTCCAGCACTCAGGAGGCAGAAGCAGGAGGATCTCTGTGCGTTCAAGGCCAGCCTGGTCTACATAGTAAGTTCCAGGACAGCTGGGGCTATAGGAAGACCCCATCTCAAAAAGACCAAAAAAAAAAAAAAAAAAAAAAAATTTAAAGATGAGGTTAAAGAAATGGCTCAGGGGTTAAAAGCACTGCAGAGGACCCAGGTTTGATTCCAAGCATCCACAGGGTAGCTAACAACCTCTGTATCTCCAGTTCCAGAAAATCTGATGCCCTCCTCTGACCTTTGCAGACACTGTATGACACAGGTACACTTACATACATGCAGGCAAACACTCATACACATAAAATTGAAATAAATAAATTGAAAAAATTTAAGCTCTATCATCTATCTATCAATCAATCAATTCATCCATCCATCCATCCATCTATCCGGTATATGGAGTGTGCTTGCATGAGTTTAAGGGTACCACATGCATGCAGGTTCCCATGGAGGTCAGAAGAGGGAGTTGAAACTAGAGTTACAGGCAGTTGTGAACTACCCGAAGGGGGTGCTGGGAACCGAACCCAGGTCCTCTACAAAAGCAGTAAGTGCTCTTAACTCCAGAGCCCAGAACCATCTCTGTAGCCCTGTGAGAATTCTTCTTTAAAATTTATTTTAGATAGGGTCTCAGGTAGTAGAAGCTGACCTGAGTGCTGTGTGGTAAGGCTGGGTCTGAGATCCAGCTGACAGTTCTTCCTATATTCTAGAAACAAGTTTTTTGTCTTGGGTATTTTGCAAACATCTCCCTAGAGCTTGTTTACTCATTCATTACCTTAAGGGTTTTTTTGAAGCAAAGCTTTTCAATTTTGATAACTGGCTTCTTTTACTAAATGTTCATGTTTTTATATTGTACTTAAGAAATTTATGCCAGGTGTGGTGGCATAGACCTTTAATCCCAGCACTCTGGTGGTAGAGACAGGTGGATCTTTGTGAGATTAAGACCAGCTTGGTCTACATAGTGTGTTCCAGGCTAGGCAGGGCTAGAAAGCAAAAAACAAAAACAAAAAAGAGAAAAAGGTTTCACGGAGTACCACAGACTTGCCTTGAACTTGCAGCAATTCTCCTGCCTTAGCCTCCCAAACGCTGGGTTATAGGCGTGAGTTACCATCCTAGCTCTTCTAGGGTGTGTATATGTATGGGCCTCCACTGTGACCTGCACCTCACCTTCTGGCCTGGCTCTCTGTCTCTTGTGCTGTAGTGTCTAAAAGCTTTTATTGTGGAGCCTTTGTCCACCTCTGCTTGCTGGGCAGCTGGACAACACTGCTGGCCTGAGCAGTGGTCATAGGGCTACCAGCCTTGGCCCTACAGTGCCACTGTCAATGTGCAGTTCCGGCTTGGTGTCCCAGGTATTAGTATACCCTTTCACTGTCTCTCTCCAGATTTCACAAAGTAGACAGTTATTTGGAAAGTAATATCACAATAAGAAAATTTTTAATTTATTTTAACACATGAATGCAGGTGTTTGCAAGTCCTGGAGGATATCAGATCCCCTGGAGCTGGAGTTACAAGCAAAGGTGAACTATCAGATGTGGTGCTGGGAGAAAGCGTTAAGCTCTCTCCAAGAGCACTAGAGCTTCCACTACCCTCCTTCCCCCCTCCC